TGCTGCTGGTGCTGCTGGTGCTGGTGCTGCTGGTGCTGCTGGTGCTGCTGCTGGTGCTGCTGGTGCTGCTGGTGCTGGTGGTGCTGGTCGTGCTGGCGCTGGTCGTGCTGGCGCTGGTCGTGCTGGTGCTGGTCGTGCTGGTGCTGGTGCTAGTGCTGGCCAGTGCACATTGCGCCGATTCCATGCGATATTTAAACGGGACCAGGAAGCTTGATCCGGGGCCCGCCCTCCCTGCTCATGATGAAGGATCACTCACGACTATTGTCGGAGGATCCCGCACCAATACAATACATGTTTGCTAAAGTAGAGTGAACTCAGGTAGCTGAGGCTACCTTTGGTGCTTCGCGCCAAGCAACACCACCTTTGCCCTTTACACAAGACATGGACACTGCTTAAAGCGTTGTCATCAGGGCGAGGTGCCCAAGCAGGACCTTTGTGTGAGATTGACTCAGCATCCCTTGTAATCACCTCAGTGCAAGTATAGTTACCAAGATTTTCACTCTCATGACACCGCACGCAAGCTTCCTGGAACTGAAGTTTCTGTCAGTGTTTACATGATGGTATAGCTGTTTCTGTTGGCTACACAAACTCCAAGAACATAGCCCTTGTGAATCTGTTGAGCTCTGATGACAATGCTCCTTGCAGAAGCTTGCCTTTCAGGACCAAAAGTGCAAACTGAGTCTGAAAGCGGTAATGTGGAAGCCAGTGCCTTCTTCTTCAAGGCTTCCTGTTGCTCCCTCCATCACAATCTTCATGTCCGAGACTGGAAGAGGCGCTAGTGATGCCTTTGCAAGCCAAAAGAAGGTGGGCAAGCCAAAAGAAGAGATGTCACAAGGCAAGCCTGCAAAGGAGCCCTGTATCCTGCCAAGCGAGTGCAGAGAGGCAAATGCTACTCGGTATCAATATGCACGCGGACTTGCAAATGGCAGGAACCTAGCACGTTGTAATCTGATCTTTGGAGATCTTCCATCTTACTTTGCCTGAAAATGCCTTCTCAGCTTCATAAGGCTCACAAACTGAGTCGTGTACGCTCGTCACTCTCTTCACCCAGCCACGAGGCAGTTGTGTTCTGGTCATCCTCATCCTGGATGTCGGTTCAAGGGCATACTGGTCCGGCACATCAACCAGGAGATGAAAAGAAAGGTAGGGCGCATTTGAAGGAGGCCTTACCTTCCTTTTTGGATCTGAATATATATATGTGCAACTGTGCGGAATCCAACATTTCGTTGCCTGACACTCAGCCACCATCAAAGGTTCCTCTGATTGTTGTACAGGCGCGTCTAACCTATTTGGTGGCAAAGCTCCGATTGATCAGCAGCGGTGGATTCAGTCAGAATCTACTATAGGTTGAGAATCGTGGCATTGCTAACAATAACATCAAACATGCATGATTTCTACAAATCACTTTGCTGCAAAGTGACGCTTCTGCCACTTGACTTTGCAGCCTCCAACTTTGTGAGTCAAAAAATGCACTGTACCACAAGGACAACACTCTGCCGCTGTGAAAAGCTTGGAAGCGCAAAGCATACAAAGGCAAGGACGACTCTGCAGGAGAGCTCAGCGCGTCGTTTGCCATTTGCATTTTGTACCTCCTGACAGGCTCATCCCCTCCACGGTAAAAGCTTGTAAACCCTGAGTCAGACTACTGTCTAGTCACTAGCTATGTACTTGGAAGTTTGTGCCATTTCAACCCTCAGACTTGGGAGCTGTTTCACCCTTCAGAGAGGAAAAAAGAAGGTAAAGGCCCCTACCTTCCTACATTCCTCTTCTTCTTCCGTCTCCGGTCTCTTTTCCTCAAGTATTTACATGTCACCTTCTCCCCTGGCCTGAAGAGGTGATCAAGGTGCTCCTCTCCATAGCTGCCCAAACCTTTGTGCAAATTCATCAAGTAAGAGAGAAACAAAAACATTACACCAGCATAGACCCAGATAGCTAGGCAGAATCCCACGACCTATGCGACTGGCTGGAACAAGATGTACGCAGCCTGCACAGCCAGCTTACGGCACCTCCACAGCAGCACCCAGCACCAGCACCGGCACCAGCAACCTGTCTCCACCACGTGCACAGCCAGCTCACAGCACCAGCACCGGCACCCAGCACCCAGCACCAGCACGGGCACCCGGCACCAGCACCAGCCTCCACCACGTGCAGCACCGGCACCGCCACCCGGCACAGCCAGCTCACAGCACCAGCAGCAGCAACCTGTCTCCACCACGTGCACAGCCAGCTCCAGCACCGGCACCATGCACCCAGAACCAGCACCGGCACCAGCACCAGCACCGGCACCCAGCACCCAGCACCAGCAACCTGTCTCCACACGCGCAAGCTCACAGCACCAGCACCAGCAACCTGTCTCGAAAGCGCGCACGGGCAACTCATTGTTATTTGAAGTAAGAACCCCATAGCTTCGCTATCTGGGGAATGAAAGGGAAAAGCAATGTTCTAAAGAAGTATATATATACATATAGAAAAATACAAAACGAATAAAAATGTCAGCTCTACCAAGGCCTAGGTGTGCTCGCACTCCGTTTGGGAGAAAATCCTGTCAATACACCGCTACACAACATGACAATGCAAGTTATAGGGGGACATGCACCTCTGCAAAACGTTCAACCAAAACCATTGTTTTATCAAACGACGTTACATGAAAGCAACAAAACTGAAATGAACAAGTGCGAGTCCTCTTCTGTGAGGTGATTGCCGAAACCACCGGCAGCGCGGATGTTCACTTTGATCATGTACTGGAAGTGAGCCAATGATTCACAAAATAGATATACACCGTTGATCAGAGTAGAGAGGTGATGACAACTTCCTCTTCGGAACGACATTCAACGGACAAGGGAATGGGTTGCCGGGGAGGGCTGACAGTCGTTCTCAACCATGAAGAAAGACAGTTCATGAGAAACTGGTCCAATATGCATAAGGCCGAAAAATTACACCACAGGTGTTCTTGCTGAAACATCACCAAAACCTATGTTTTGAGCAATGTTTTGCTTCAATTGTTCAGACCAGGCCGACAAAGATTTTGAGGGAAACAGAAAAAGGTATAACGTTTGTCACAAAATAAAGGTACTATAGGATGTGGATTTGTTTTTATGGGTGTTGCCTTCATCTTGTCTCAAACATTGTTTTTGGTTTTTATGTTTTGTTGTTTTTTCCCCTCAAAACCTTTGTTGGCCTGGTATGAACAATTGAAGCAAAAAATAGCTCACCTAGGTTTTTGCGAGGCGCAGTCTCAAAAGGCTTTTCAATTGCTTCAGTAGGGTTACGGTTTGAGGTTTGTGTATGTCTTGCTTAACCTTTTCTATATGCTCAAATTCATTTTGAAATTAGCACCAAAAGGAAGCCGCTTCAACCTTCACAAGGATTATGTTGTTTTTCTTACACTGCCTTCTTTAAGACTCAAGTAAAGGAACGCACTACTAAAGAAGCTATTGAGCTAGACCAAGTTGCAACAGCATCAATTAACTTCTATCCAGGCAACAAATTACTTCTTCTGGTATAAGTGGTTTCTATTGCTCCACTAGGTTGTATCTGTCTTGCTTGAGGTGTTCTACACACGTTCAAACGTGCCTTAACGTTGAGCACCAAAAAGGAAGGCTGCTTCAATCTTCACACGGCTCTTTTCTCTTGGTCAAGTTGTTTTGTGTTTCTTTCTAAGAAGGTAAGGAGCTAGACTAGGCACAAGAAGCTTGATTGATTTGTATGTCAATGCAATTTTTGGTTGGTTTTGGTTGCCTTGTCATGGTTCGCTTGGTTTGAAGCCAAGTTCATACAGCAATTAAATGTGTGTTATTTGGATTGCTTGTTCCCTATGAAAAAAGGACATCAAATAAACTAAAGCATAGATGAGATGGAAGAATAGAAAGAATCAATCATAACATGTAAATTTTACTGGAACAACAGAAAGGTCCTTTGGGATCAAGGCGAAGTTGCTGACCGAAATTGAGAACACATACCAGGCAGTTGTTGATATTGAACAAAGAAGAGTCAGACTAAACAGTGCTGATCATTGGTTTTACACATTGACATTGCACAGAGAAATTTGGTGCAGGAAGATAGAAAAAGATGCGGCGTTTGCCCTAGGATAGATTTTGAGCTAGTGTGTGCTCTCTCAAGCACACCCGCTCTCCAGAAAATACATCTCGCACTTGATTCAATTAAAGGGTGTATATGTAAGTACAGTAGCAGGCGAATTGCAAGATGTAAAGAAACAATGCCAATGTTTAGTCCTCCAGAACGTTCCGCAAGTCTTGGCTAAGGTGAGCAATGGCCTTTGGCTCAAAGAGACTGCCATCGTTGAACAATAGACAAACTAGTAACAATGTTCGCTACTAGGAACAAGTGCATCGCTTCTAGTAACAAGTGCCTTACTAGTAGTAACAAGAAGCTATTATATACTGTTTACACCAGTTCCTTGAACACAAGTTCTTGGGCTTCCTTGGCTTCACACTTCCTCCCTTCGCTGGATATCTTGTGACAGCTCGCTCGCTTCCTTGTCAGCAGCCCGAAGAGACTCCTCTACATGCAGTAGGACTTCTTCAAACGCTTGCAGCTTAGCTGCATTTCACCATAACTTTATGTCACAAGGCCAAAGTGATGTCCATGTCGAACAAATATGCACCAAGCTTGCTCCCGCAATATATTTGCTTTCAGCTGCTTCTCACCTCCAACTCAGAGTTGGCAACTGGACCCCCCATACGCAGGCGATACGATTCCTGCGCCAGCAGTGCGTCACATTTGAAGAGTCCTAGAACAATGCAATGTATTTACAAGACTTGATCATGGTCTCTTGCATGCCTTGTCGTCAGCTCTTGCTTGCCGACTACAGAACTCCGTTTCTTTTTCTTGGCCATCCTCAGTCGTTTGACAAAAATAGCAGCTAAAGCTTGCAATACATATAACAAAAAAAATGTTTGCTGGCAGGTTTCAAGCATCCTCCAGGCCAAGGACATCTCATCCTCAGCTTCACTTCCAATGATAAAATCTCTGAATCTCTGAGGGTCGGACCTCCAGACGCATGGAACATCGATCATGTTGCCGCATCATATCAGCGAGGCCCTGATGTTCAAACGTTCAACGTTCAAACATCTGGTGAAAAATCTAGCCTTGCTACTCTGAGCTGCCTTATCACAATATGACCTTGGAACATACATCAACCGACTAGATCTTTATTTATTCAAAATTGGTTTACAATTGAGTAACATGACTTGTGCAAACTTCCGAGAGTCGATCCTATGTTGTCATTTCTTTGCATACTTCAATGGCCCATGATGCGCTGTTTAAAAAGTCTCAACTGTTTTGAGGGTCGTCGATCAACTTAGGACCCTTGGACGCACCACCAGAGTTTTGCCGGACTGATCATAAATTGTTTGGTCAAGTCTGCCTAAGCCGCAAACAAGGTGCTGATGCCGTGACAGCATGTCGCGCCACAATCCGTGTTTACCAAGATGACCATGACACAAGTGGGTAGCAGAACCAGCGCCCAAACTCCAAAGCGCACACTGCCATAGACATCTAGCAGCGGCACCGCCCTCCATCGGCCAAAAGCGCACACTGCCATCAACATCTGCCCGCCATAGGGCTATAGACACCGGGCAGGCAACGCCCTGCAGCAGCACCCAGAGCAGCACCAGCATCCAAGTTCAAAGCAAACACTGCCACACATTCGGGAAATGCATACTGAACTGATCACCCCAAGCCCTGAAGAAGCCTACGTGAAAAAATCGCCTGGGTAAAACAGGTAGTATGTAAGGCCGTCTGGTCATCCTGGAAATCTAAAACATGAAGTTCTAAAGTTCAACACTCGAGGCGCGCATCTGCCGGTGAAGAACCGCCCCAAGGCTGGAAGAATTGTTCTGGTTAGAAGCGGGGGCCAACAGCGTGTGACCCACCAGCTGCACTTAGATGCCCAGGCGCGGTCAACAGCCGGTACGGTTGGACAGGCACAGCGTGAACGTCTTCCTTGGCTCTCGTCTCACGCAGGCTCCCAGAGCCCCCGCTTAAAAACCCGAAAGGCCCCTGTGATTCCAAGGGTTTCACACGCGCACACACTCGAGATAACGCGTACGGAAATTGAACGCCACATGCCACACGCCCACCTAGGTATGAAAGTTTAAGAGGTCCATGGCTCATGGTAAAGTAAGTTAGAGTATCGGTTGGAGGCCACTACTACGTCAAGGTTAGAGGCCATCGCATCTAGGTGGGAGGTCATCGCAAAGGGTTGGAGGCCATCGCTAGTAGATTAGCTGCGTACGCAACGATTTAGTTCAATCTCAACTCGCAATTGGATTGTACGGAAGGGGTAGGTCTTAGAGGCCATCGCTAGTAGGTTGACTGCATACAAGTAACACACAAGCAAGCGCAAGTAGGTTGACTGCATACAAACTGCGCAATAAACGCACAAACAAGTGCAAGTGGGTTGACGCACGCAAACTGAACATTTAACACACAAGCATGACTGCAAACCTGACAACCTAAACCTTGGACTCTACGGTTGGTCGGTAGTTACAACATTCACATACCGATGCAGGTACGCGGGACTGGCCGGATCCCACATCCCGCGATATCACCCAGCTTCCTGGTCAAGGTTGGTGATATCGCGCCTTGACCCCCTGCATGGTTACACCAACAGGAGACCATAACCACACGCACGCTTTTAAAAGGGAGGCGTATGTGCAGCCTCCATCCTGCCTGGAAAGGAGGCGCCCCGAAAGGGGGTTGCGAAAGCACACGCGCGCGCGCGCGCGTGAAAGGAGCAAAGGAGAAGACATGAAGAGGGCGAGGCCAGACGAAAGTGCTTGGTTGCGGACCAAGGGAAAACCGAGCGAGCGGGGACAACCGATGAACCAAACCTCATTCTAGCGAGACCTGGGGCACCTGTGCCTAGTTTGTTGAAAAAGGTACGCGTGCGCGCACAAGCTAAGGATGAAGATGACCAGACATGAAGACAGAACGGACATGAAAGAAAAAGGAGAGGAAGACTTGCAGATCAAGGGAATACTATTGGCAAGCAAAGGGCCGCTGGATCTCGCTAGCAGGCGCAGAAGTGGAAGTTGCGCGAGCGCTGGAGTTAATTGGGATCAAGGAGAGGGCGCGTATAAGAATCACTAGAAATCCCAGAAGGGGCTCCAAGTGGCATCCGCGGTGAGCAAACATATTGCATCATATTGCCAAGCTTACGTATGGATGGGCCGACGTTTGGAGCGCAAGGAATGCGGTGGCAAGAGGCCCCGCCGGTGGAAAAGGAACAGGCGCGCGCGTTTCCGAAGCAGGACGGTCAAAGGAGGGCAGCAGCGCGCTGGGGCGTCGTCCTGGGATCAAATAAAGGAGGCCTGGGCTTTCCTCCGCCGAAGGAGAACCTTCCGCCAGAGTTCGAAGCTCGGGGTACGCGCAAGGGCTGCGTTCCTGTCCACCGAAAGGGCTGGGGAAGGAGATGCTACATAAGCACGGAAAGCCGTAAAGTTGATGGCCCAAAGTTCCATCGAACTCGCCATCCTGGATAGTGACCAGAGAGAGACCGCTAGAACAAGTAGCGGATAGTTCAAATTTACCCGGTCGGAGGGTCTGCATTGCAAACACGAGCGGGCCTGAGGGTTCAATGTCGTTGTGGTGCATAGTAAAGGACACGCCGCGAAAGTCAGATGCGCAGTCAGGAAAATTCTTGGGACCGCTGCAGTCACTGACGGATTAGAGGTGGGGAGGTTGGCGGGAAAAAGTGCAAAGCGGAGCACCACTCACGGACTGGTGTGTCTGAAGGAGGTTGTAGAGTCTGCTTGAGGCAGAGACGAGACTGGCTTTGAAGAAGGAAGTCCAGCAGAAGGTCAGACCGAAGCTCAATGTCAGACGAAGTCTGTTTTTGTTCACAGCCTCGAGGAAGCCGTGCCAGAACAAGGGCCAAGTGGCGCCACGGCGCCTCGATCACCTGCGTCGGATACGCGATTGACAGATATGATCTCACCGCAGCTCGCCTTGTGTTGCACCAACACAAGCGCTGTCAAGTGGAGCTCTACATCGACCGTTCTCGGACCATAAAGGCGCAAGAGCAACTCGCTGGGAGAAGCCCCTGGAATGGGGACAATATTGCACACTAAAGCAGCCATCCTGGAGTCCCCGCTGGCCATGGAGGTTTTCTGCGGACTAGGTTAGGCGAGCTGTGTAGTACAGGCCTACCCTGCACATACTGTTGGCTCAAGACCGAGAGCCAGCAGCCAGACGTCAATCGGTGCAACAAAGGAGTCGCGTGCGCGTTCGGACGGGCATGTAGGTGACAAGTAATTGAATGCACATGTTGGAAATGCAATATTTAATATATATATATATACACATATACATACATATACACACCGACCTTGGAAAAAAAGAAGATTTTGCAATGTTTTCACAGGCAATGTGTATGTCTAGGGGCGCACAAGCTGGCTGCACCAGGCCACAAAATCAAATCTCAGCCAGCACTGCCCGCAGCCATGTTGGATTCCAAAGAAACAAATAGAAGGTGAAGCTTAAGCGAGGCCGTATAAAAGGGGCTTCTTCTTTTCCTCTCAATAGCTGGGCCAGCTGGGCTGCCTTCGGGAATGAAAACTGTGAGCCATTGCACACTCTTCCCAGCTGGCTAGAGCCAGCTAGCACTAGCCAGCCACTACAAAACACACCTTTCAAGTTGTTTTCGGTGAAATGCCAAGAACTGGACAAGCAATCAACCACCGATCCTGCTCAGCGATTTGGTGCTCTGCCCGCCACTGAACAATGGCTGCATGATGCTTCTCCTCCAAAAGCAACAATGGCACATGGAGCCATCCCTAAATTACGCGCAATGACGGCTGGTGAAAAAGGAAAGGCAAAAAAGGCTGGCACACCCAGCGTCGACGTGTGAAGGCCCACGGCTAAATTGGTCATGAAACATATGTCTTTCGCTTTTTTGGGTTGGCCATGTTAACTCCTGTCAACATGCTTTGGAAAAGAGTTGGGATTAGGGCAGAATTGATATGCCAATGTCATCCAATTTCCGTGCAACACAAGCCATGATCATGACGCCTATTCTACCATCTCTTCGTAGTATTCATGGAACAGCACCCAGGCTTTGCATTCCAACTCTTGCAATCAAGGTTATCCCATGTTCGCCCCGAACTCCACATTGACATCCTTCTGCCTCTGTTTGACTCTCATCCGAGCCTGTATTTCCAAAGCAGCTCTCAGGTCTGCACCACGAACCACTTCAGCCTGCATGCCAAGGCCAACACTGGAGACAAGACATTAAAGAATGTCGCTGTGTCGCAGCAAAACAACTAAACCATCAGATTCTAAATGCGTTGCAATAACGTGAACATTGATAACATCGATAGTAACCAAGTTGAGGGGAGCGTCAACATGAATACAAGCGTTTTGCAGGTTTGGCAACAGAAGGGCAAACGCTAGTCCTTGCCAAACTGTATTGATCAGCACCCGGAGATTGCTCTTACGCTCAGGAAACAGAATTGGCAATTTCAATTTTATCTGCGGATGACATTCTTCACTCGCATTTTGATTGCATTCTTGGGCCTTGAAGCAGGCATCGATCACGCCCTTTAAACTCGGGCATTGCAGTTTGGCTCAAAAAATGACCGCTTGCAGCTTCCTGTGCCTTTGGTGGCACAGGTTACGAGCCAAACCTGTCCACCTTCCCAACGTGTGGAAGTTGCTGTCCCCCATGGACTTCTCACACCGTCATCGTCGTCATCGGCCGAAGGAAAGGGATGCCTCGGCGGCGGAGTCAGGAGAGACTGGGCAATGTAGAAATTGGTGTAGCAGATCATCAAGCGGACACCATGTTGAAAGAATACAGGCGGTCGGCTCGAGCATCTTCGGCCAGAGATTGGCCCTGCACGCTTTCAGGGGGACAACCACCTAGCAATGAAAGTGGACTCCAGCCTCCACCAACTATTGTGAAAGTGGACTGAGAGAGTGACTCCACTCTGGAGGGCTGGACAGCTGGGACTGGGGCAGCTACTGAGGGCAAAAGAGTTACAATGTTCGGCTCTTGCAAAATGGTGCTCCGGGCCAAGGTCTTCTTGATCCACTTCTTCGAGTACACGATGCAAGACATCAACCGAGACATGATTTCATTCATCGATCATCCAGGGCAAGGAACTATGACCTCTGCTCCAGTGCCTGGGGGCGCCGGAGTGGGAAGTGTCCGAACTGCGGTGAGATGTCTTTCGGAGGTGGTCGGATGGAGCAAAAACCTCGGGTTTTGGATGCATATGTTTGCCGACTGGTGATTGGAGTCACCTTTTGGAGTGCTCACTCAGCATGGCACCTGAAACCTGCTGATTGTGGTGCAGGAAGTCCAGTGAAGTGTTGAGAGAATTGAAGAGACTCAGGCTGAGAATCCTACAGGAGGCAGAGGCAGCCTACTGCAGGGAGGCCAGGAAATTGGTGGACCCAAGCAACACATTGTCGTTTGCATCAGCTGCAAGCGCAAGCCAGGGAGAGGCTAAGCAAGAAGCAGCTCGCTTGAGCCCTTGCGCACGGTTCGTCAGATCCCTCAAAGCTGTTGGCTGTTGGAGTAGACTATGATATTGCAACAACACAAAACCGTGACACAAACAAAGATCTCAAACTCCCTCTAAAGCATAAAGTCTCCTACGTGACATGCTCTAGGTTTCAGGAGCAACAAGTTGCACGGCAAATTCGAAAACAAAGCCCACACCTCGTAGGCATTGCGCAATCGATGTTCTTCCTCTTTCCCCGCCCTGGCAAAGTGTTGATCAGAAAGGCAAGGGAAAACAGCATCAAGGGATATCAAGCGTAATTAGATAGAGCAAAGTCACACCTGTCCTGGTGTGTGTACGTGTCCAATGTCCTATAGTTGGGGTTAAATAGATATCACGGCAAGAGACCCTAAACAGTGGTGCGAAGGAAAAAGGCAACGGTGAACAAGCCAACTTCTGCACTCTAGAGGACACACATGAGACCACACACGTGACACATATGAGAACACGGGCATTATGTGGGCACGTCACGCTTGTAAGCGTGTAAGCGTGTAAGCAAACACGTGAAACATGAAAGCACACATATGAGGACATGGGACACTGGTATGATTTTGCGAACATGAGGGCACACATATCAGGGCACAGGTATGCGTGAACCAAAATATGAGAGCACACACAACAGAGCACACACGTGAAAGCACACATATGTGAGCATATGTGAGCACACACATGAAAACACTGGCTTGAGTGAGCACACAAGATCGGAACGAACACACTCATAGAAATGCATACTGATATGAATGCGGTGCCACATGCCGGCCTGAGCCAAAAAACCTGAGATACCAGGAGGGCAAGTAGTAAGTTAAAGGCCATCGCTTTTAGGTTGGAGGCCATCGCAGGTGTCGGCCCGAGCGCCTCTCAGCTGGTGCACCCGGGCTGGCCAAAGGCTCGGGGGGGGACGCGCATCCATGTTCGACCCGGAGCCATGGCTTCCCTCGATATCAGAGGGCACCCTGGTTTCTTTGACGGGCAAAGCCTGGTACTTTGATGAAGCTGGCCAAGGTTACAAATGCACTTCTCTGCTGCACGGACAACCCTTTTTGCTGCGAGGAAGCACTTTGACCACCGAACGGTTCGCGGTTATTGGAGCTACAGTCTCCATGGTGGAGGGTTTGCCGCATGTTGAAACCCACCATGCAGCGTTGAAGGAGCACTTCATGGTCTACAACAAGGCTGCAACTGAGGTCATAGATGCTTGCTCAGGCTATGGTATTATGACAGCAGGCTACAAATGGATTGACTGCACGGTTCGATGCCACATAGAGCTCAACCCCAAATATGCCACATGGCTTCGTTCCACAGGGGCCAATGTCATTGAAGGGGATATCGCGAGCATTGCTGTGCAAAAGGCTTTGGTCCCTTACACATGCATGCCATGTATCCTCACTGGAGGTTTTGCTTGCCAGCCCTTCTCCCAACTGGGCGACAAACGACAACAGCTCGACCCACGGGCAAAGAGTTTCGAAGGGATGCTGATTACATGCTATCTGCATCAGCCCATTGCCATGATTCTGGAGTGCACCAAGGAAGCCATGACCTCGACGTGGGTACAGGGAACCTTGAATGCCTTTTGCAATCGTACAGGATATACCTTCCAGCAACAGCTGTGCCATCTCCAAGATCTATGGCCGGCCAAAAGGTCTCGGTGGTGGGGAGTTTTGGTCCATCCAATGGTCACCATGCCACCACTTCGCAGGTTCCCGGCCTTAGACTTTGTGCCCTCATTCCGCCACCTAATTCCGAAGCTTGCTGAATGGCCCGCTCAAGATCTGACAGAGCTTCAACTGACAGCCCATGAGTTAGAAGTGTTTGCCGAGCAGCCTGGGGGCCTTGGTAGCAACTCTGTCAGCCCGACAAGGCCTTTGATGACAGCCCTTCACGCATGGGGCTCACAGTTGCAGGCATGTGCATGTGGCTGCAGGGCAGGTGGCTTCACGACCAAAAGGTTGGAGGAAAAAGGATTGTATGGTGCGCTGATTCCCATGCCTGGAACCACCAAGGTTCGACGCCAAGACATTGCAAATATGCGTCATGTCCACCCAGATGAAGTTGCCATTTTGCACATGGTACCCACTCGGTACATCCATCAAGGAGACACCAGCCACCTTCGCCTTGATCTCACTGCACTAGGCCAGATGGCCTCACCTGCCCATGCATTATGGCATGTTGCACAAGTGATCCAAGCCCTCGGCGCCGCCTTTGGTCTGCCAATGCACCCGATGTTGGCCGAACAAGGCCTCCTGCAACTTGGCATCGAGACATTTGCGGCACGTGATGAGATGTTGAAACCTTTCACACACACGAGGGAATCCAGCCTCTTCCAAACGGCCTACCATGCCAAGTTTGGTAGTCAGCACATCCTACCCACCGATGAAGACTTGTTTCCTGCGGAAGCGGGTCTAGACAACCGACATCAAGGGGAGGGGGGAAACAAACGAAAGGGTGCCCCAGGGATTGAAGAGGACCATGACACAGATGCATCACAAGGCATCACACCGACGGGGGGGGCTCGAGTTTTTCGCCAATCGACCACACAGAACAGGTAGTACTCAAGTCATCATGCCGGCCGTAGGCCACTCCGCAGGCACGTCTTCGCATATGACCGGGTCACATGAAGACTACTCCGCCATCCGGAGGCCAGTCGAGCTAGGTGACAAGAAGATAGTGCACCCTGTTTCGCCACAGTCTGACCATCCCACCGGGGGTCCTAGGTTCGCCTATGAGTCACCCGCCGTCACCGCCATGCCACAGGATCAACTTGACGACCCTGATCATCAGAGAGTGCGGACAGACCTTAAGGTTCGGCCCGATTTTGCATTGCCGCCAGAGACCACTGAACAGAGTGGTATTCTTTCGTCTTCAAGGGAGAAAGAAAGTCTAGAGGCAATAGATCAAGAAAGGGTGAACCTGTTGAACAACAACGATATCGGCAAGCTCATGCCAACTCAGCCATTCCTCATCACAGTATGCAGCAAGGGGGCCAATCCTGTTGAAGTGCGAGTCCGTCCGGGGTCAACCACTGGCCAGCTTTCCAAAGCCGAAGAGGGCATTGAGTCACTCGTGCAGCCAATTGTGATCACAACCATGACTGGCACACCATTGCCACTTGCAAGTTGGCTCACACCAGGAGCTTGGTACATTGTTGATAATGGAGCGACCCATTCTGTCCCAAGATGTGCAGACATCCATGCCCAACAAGAATGTGTACTCACCATCCAAGCCCATGACCGGTTACAAGGGCTACTCGTTCAGGGTCCTTTGGTTGCAGTTGACGAAATGACATTTTATGCTGCCATGATTCGCAACCAAGGCCACAATGTTGCAGATCCCATCGTCATCGACAGCTCTGACCAAGAGGATCAAGCACTTGCGACCTGGGTCCTGACATCCCTGCATGAGCATGAAATCACCAAGGACAGAACTTTGTTCCAGGTGCCAGTCCTCGTCCGAAGCCACTGGGTCCCCGTCGCCCTTCGAATCACATCGGCTGGGAATCGGGTCACAGTCCCTCAGGAAGTCATGTCACTCATCCAAGATCACCTGGTAGCTGACGTTGGACCGCATGAACTAGAGTTTGAGGCCAGTACACTGCCCAGCGCATTTCATGCCGATTGTGGCTTCCAAACTGTCAATTGCATTTTTGCCCAAATCATTGGTACTGACAAGCCGAAGCCGATCTTGCCTGCACAGGCTGACAACTGGAGGGTTTTGTTTGCAGTACATGCCAAGAGACTCAATCTCGAACAAGCACCGAGCATTAGGGTAGGAGGTACCATGCACCCGGATCAAGTTTTGTTGCAAGCCTTGCTCGCTCAACATGGTGTCCACAAAGAACGGCTTGCAACGTGTGCAATCAATCTAATCCAGCAGCTGGGGGGAGACGAGATTGGGAAGGCCCTTAAGAGCCCCCAACCATGGAAAGATCTAAAGACCCTTGCATCACAAGCCTCTCCGCCCATTCGGATTGTGCTAGCAGCTGAGGTTGATGCGGCTGTCAAAGACAGATTGGCCACCAAGAAGCCATTCGGATCCAAGGCCAACAAGACCAAAGGACACCGGGGCACACGCCCACAGGTCATCCCGACTGCAGATCAGATCAAGCTGCCTGATTCGCTTTTCGTCCAGCAAGATGGCCAGAAATTACCGTCCATTCCAGTCCATAAAGTTGAAGCACATGCTCAGGGGGTAGCTGTGTGCAACATCCAGGATGCCTTGCACTTTCTCAGCTTGACGTCTCCGCTCAGTGCAGAGGGGGTTGCTCTCTTCATACTCGACCATGCTGACCCTCGACTGCCCCCACAGGTTGAGCACATCAGGGTTCCAGCGATGTCGGCAGCAACCATTGAGCCAATGCTGGTTTCCGCTGCCATGTTACAGCTGGGCAACAAGAGGGTCCTACGCCATGTGCCTGCTGAAAGTTTTGCCCTTGATGAGATCCAGACGCAGGTATTGAAAGTGGTGGTATACCAGGATGAATGGACCAGCACGTGGTCGTCTTTCCTGCAACATCCAGTCAAAGCGATCTTTGATCACCCAGTGATGCAAGATGCCGAGATCCCTCACGCCGAAAATGCGATGGATGTTTGGGATCGACAAACGCTGGACAGCAAGTTGACACGCACACAGCCCCAGCAGGCAGAAATCTTTGCAGTCCTGATTCGGGTCACCTCAAGGCTAGCAGGTCATTTGCTGCCAAGCGCCGGAGTTGATGGGGTCTACTTTGAACCCCGCACCATGGATGGCCGTCGCCCTGATCCACAGTTCCGGGTGGTCTGGATGCCGAAGAAGAACCTAGCACAAGTGAGACTGGCACGCAGTCAAACGGAAGCTAAGACGCACATTGTGCGGATGGGGCAGAGATATGGGCTTCGGGTACATCATGAACACGCAGAACAAGTTCACCACCAGCACCGACCTGACTTGTTGTTCCTGGATGGACAAGCACTCCGGCCGTACAAAGTTGGCCCATTTCCATACGGGTCCACCAAGGCTTCCATCTCGATGGCCTTCAAGCACTTGGGTTGGCAAGCTCGACCCGTTCAGCCGATCTCCCAAATGCAGGTCCAAGACGGGATTTTCTGGCAGGTGATGGCTCCTCACGAGCCTACACACTGGATCTACCAGCTGAAACATGGTGACATCCTGATTGCCAAGATCGAAGACCACAAAGACACGGTCGTGCCAAGCGTGCACAATGTCAT